AAACCTCAAAAGCTCAAAAGTGACGACAGTTACAAGGGTTCCGATGACCCGCTCGGATTAGTAACATGATCTGCGGGCCCCATAGGGAGGGGGGCCCCGTCTGAGACTTCCTCTCAATTCACTCACAGACGAGGCCCCCGCCTGATACTTCCTGCATATTCAAGCCTCAGAGGTCCAAAAGTGACGACGGTTACATGGTTCCGATGACCCGCTCGGATTAGTAACCTGATCTGCGGGCCCCATAGGGAGGGGCTCCCGCCTGCGACTTCGTCGCAATTCACTCAGAGGCCCCCGCCTGATGACGAAATGAGTGAGCGAATGATGATGATGATGGTGATGAGTGTGTGATGAATGATTGATGATGATGATGATGGTGATGATGATTATGATGATGATGATGAGGATGATGACGGTGATGATGCTGAGGATGATGATGATGAAGGCCACTGAGTGGGATCGAGAGATTATGATGGAGATGGTGACGATGATGTTGAGAGTGGCGGCGGTCCTACCGTCGGAGGGCCACTGCCTCCGAAGCCTACTGAGGATGAGTGAGTGATTAAGTGAGTGAGTGGGTGATCGAGTGGTGATGATGGTGACGATGATGATGAGGATGATGATGATGACTAGTGATGACGGTGATGGTGGTTGATGGTGACGACGATGGTAATGATGATGAGTGTGTGCGTGTGATGACGATGATGGTGGTTGATGGCGATGATGATGGCGATGATGGTGAGTGAGAGGGAGAGAGGAAAGGGCGCGCGTGAGATCCTGCGCGGCGTGAGCAGAGAAAACAAGAACCCCACTTTGGATGTGGGGAAAATAACCATTGCGCCCGTTGCTTTTCCGTGAGGTATGCAGGCTTGTCCGAGTAGTCAAGGGCTGTGACTTCATCGTCCAGAGACGCATCGGTGTCAGCACCGGAGTCGAAGTCGGACCCGGCAGGTTGCCCCGCTGAGCCCATTAGGGCCATGGCTTGCGCGGGGGGCGCCGCGTCGGGCGGCCCCCGAAGCCTGGCCCAGGAGCTCTGCGACCCCGAGGCCGCTCCACCATTCTGAGCCAGCAGCGTAGTGGTCTCAGTTGGTTGTGGATCATCATTCCAGACGCTGTAATCAGGCTACCCTGCGTCAGCCCCCGCGTGAAAGGTCTCGGTTCGGTGACCGTGACTGAAAATGCCACCAATATTACCAGGGGTTCTCTCAGCAATGTAAGCACGTGACCTCATGCGTTCGAGTAAAGCGTCGAACTGTTGCTGGTTTCTCGGCATGTGGTGGTTTAGAGGCTGCAGGAGTTGTTGTGCACGCGATGTCTCCACTCCAAGAGCTCTGAATAACATCGCGGCTAAGATTGGAATTCGGGGACGTTCAAGCCTGCCGTTTCAGCTTCATTGCGGGCTATATCGAAACGTGTTAACGTCTGGTCGATTCTTTCCCCCGCATGGACTCGGAAGTCGATGGGAGTTGTATCAGAGTTGGCTTGGCGCTCCTCTTCTAAATTATCGAACTTCGTGCTTAAGAGGAACATGATGTAGGTGGCGCCATACCGACCACCTATGTTAGCGCCAAAGTTGATCACTGCTGGGGGGACTCTCATGTCTATGGTCCGTGCGAGACCTCCCAGAACCTCGCTGCAAGGCTGCGGTTTGCTGGGAGGGCGTCGCGTTGCCTGTGGTCACGTTGATCCAGGCATGCACCTCGCGGACAAATTCGAGAAAAGGTACTTGACCGGCTGGGTCCCAGAGAGGGCCGGTCGTTCTTGTGTCGTCTCCGCCACGCATGTGTCCTACCGCGCGCCCGGTAGCAACCCATGCGAGCCCAAATATAGGAAAGAGCGTGTTCTACCGCTGCTGGCGGAAAACCGGGGGGGGTCACTACCGGTTCGACCCCCCCCCCTCCAGAAAATCGGAGGGGGGGTCACTACCGGTTCGGACCCCTACCCCCCCCAGTTCGTCATGAAAAAGGGGTGGGGGCCACTGCCGGTTCGGAACCCCCCTCCCCCTCCTCGAAAACCGACTGGGGGTGCGGACAGTGGTGGGGGCGGTGTTGGTGGGGGGCAGTGGCGAGGGGACAGCGGGACAGTGGTGGGGACAGTGGGACAGTGGGACACTGGTGGGAACGGTAGTGGTGGGGACAGTGGTGGGGACAATGGCGGGAACAAGGGGGGACAGTGGACAGTGGTGGGGACGGTGGTGGTGGGGACAGTGGTGTGGGGACAATGGGAATGAGGTGGAAACAGTGGGACAGTGGAGGGTACAATGGTGGTGGGGACAGTGGCGAAGGCGGTGGCGAGGACGGCGGTGGGACAATGGGACAGAGGTACAGTGGGGACAGCGGTGGGGACAGCGGGGACAGCGGTGGGAACACTGGGACAGCTCAGTGGGACAGCGGAGGAGTCAGTGGGACAGTGGGGACACTGTGCATAGTCGGGAAGTTGTGGCCGTGGAGACACTGGGGAGAGTGGAACCGTGGTGGGAACACTGGCGGGGACAGTGGGGACAGTGCGACAGTGGTGGGGGCACTGGTGGGGACAGTAGGGACGGTGGTGGAACCAGCGGGGACACTGGTGGTGAGGACAGTGGTGCTTGGAACAGCAATGGGGGATGTGATGCGGACGGCGGTAGGGACCGGGAGTCGTTTGCTGGCGGTGCGTGGGGGGGGGTCGAACCGGCAATGACCTCCCTCCAGTTTTCGAAGGGGGGGGGGGTTCGAACTGGCAGTGACCCCTCCTGGTTTTCCGGATCCGGAGGGGGGGGGGGGGAGGGGTTCGAACCGGTAGTGACCCCCCCCCGGCTTTCGAGGGGGAGGGGGGGGGGGGAGGGGTTAGGGGGGGGGGGGGGGGGTTAGGGGAGGGGGCGGGGGGTTGCCGGGGGAGGGGGGGGTGTTCCAGCAGGGGAGAGGGGGGGATTTTTGGAGGTGGAGGGGGGCGACCCCCGGGCTCCAGAGGAAAAGGTTGGCAATTTTCCGTAGTAAAACGGCGGTGGGTCACGCTCTCTCAAATATAATAACACCAATCCAATGGCCCCGTAGGTCGTGGTCGGATGTAATCGGTCCGGGCTTCAATTGTGCAGTCGTAAATCTGCGCGGGGGTGGAGGCGGCACCGCATCGTATCGCATGTTTCCATGCATTGTGTCTTCGGAGGAGTTCCCAAGTGGAATAGCTGGGTGGACTCCAGGAGTGCAGTAGCGCAGGGATGTAGGACGTAAGTAAGAGACCTCCGCGTAAGCAGAGGTATCGCTGCAAGTGTCCTTGCGATGATGCGTAGTTATATACACTCTTCCGCGCAAGCCCACTGCACCCTGATGCTCCACCATGTATGTAGTCCACCAGATAGTGCCGTGGATGGTGAGGAGTAGAGCAAGAGCTGACCACCATAGGCCAGCTCCGCTACCAAATTTGAAGGAGGCTGGGAGGCCCAATCAGCAGCTTCGCCTTAGGCGAAGCCAAGCTCCAGCTCTGCTATACCGTAGTAGCGATAGTCCCAGTAGGAGAGGATGCGCCATCTTAAGCAATATGAAGATCCTTTTGGTCTCGATAGCAATCGTGTCTTTCGCAGTGAGACACAAGGGCGGCCGGCCGCTTGAGCCGACGCGGCCGCGGGCACACGCTCGCTTCCGCTCCCTGTGTCCCCCAGCTCATTTTAAAGTTTTCCACTTATCCTGGCTTCCGGCAGCCCAAGACGACCCAAGAGGTCTGGATATCGCTACAAGACAACCCCAGAGGCCCCCAAGGGAGCCTCATAACAGCCCAAGAGGGCCCCATGACGGCCCTCAATAACCCTCCAGGATGGCCCAAGAGTTTCCCAAGATAACCTCCCTGACCGCCAGCAGGCCACAAGATCCCCCCAAAGCCCTACACAGGACCCATAGGCCCCAAACCCATTAGACCGACAAGAAGCCCCCAAGAGGCCCCAGATGCCCCCGAGAGACCCCAAGAAGCCCCAGGCGGCCCCCAAAATCTCCAAGAGGCCTCCGAAAGGACTCGCAGAAGAACCCGGAAGCATCGAACGCGCCCCTGATCGACGACCCAGGCGCGCTGGCGGGATCCACTGACGGAACTTCGGCGAGGGCGTGTTCAGTTGAGCGTTGCCTTGCAAACCCCTGACATTGTTTATCCCTCTCCGAAGATCACGCGACAGCTCAGGGAGACGACCACATTCCACGACCTTCTCAGCCCCCGCGAGCACGCAGGCAATAACGATGATACAGCATGGGCCAGTGGAATGAGCGAAGCGATGAACAGAGACTGTGGCGTTACTTGTTTGAGCTACCTCCTTGAGTTACATCCGCAGTTGCGACTCCTGTGATGGCCCAACTCGGCGATGCGATTCGAGACGTGCCCGTCACCTGGGAGGATCCGATCCTTCTCCGTCCCTCCCTCCCTCCCTCCCTCGTCCCTCGATGCTTCCGTCTCCACCTCCTCCTCCTCCTCCTCCTCATCCTCCTCCTCCTCCTCCTCCTCCTCCCTCCCTCCTCCCTCCCTCCCTCCCTCCCTCCCTTCCTCGCGCAGCCAAAAAAAGAGCTACCCGCCGTGCGTACCCACTGCTTTGCTGCCCCGCTCTCACGCCCTCCCGCTCTGCCGCCCAGCTCGCCGCCAGCGCTCAGCAGCCGCTGCCCAGCTGAGCGCCTGGAGGGCCTGACCCCTAAGCGCCGCCGTGGCCGTCAGAGCAACGTGGCGGACGACCTCCGCCTCCAAGTCAGAACGTAGCCGCCAGACGCTCAATGCCGCCGCGCGGCCGCCTCCCGGGCGGAGCCGGCCGGACTCGCAGCCCTCACGGGGGAGCGCGAGGAGCGACTCCAATGGCCCGGCCGCCCCGCTCGATGGCGCACGGGAGGGCAGCGCCCCCGTGGTGTCGGGCCCTGTTCATTCTCGCCCTCCCGAGCAGAAGCCCCAGGCACATCGTGTGGATTTGTTAGGCCCGCTGCAAACGGGATCGGGCAATGACGTTGATCAAGAAGCGCTGGCTTCCGCCAGGCCCTCCCCCCCGGCTGGGTCGGATCCTGCGTGATCTTGCGCTGGGCGCCGAGGCTGAGGTCTGGGGGCCTCCCGCGGCTGGTCTCGCGGCCACCATGCCAAAGCAAACAGGGGTGAGGAGGGAGAGAGGGAGGGAGGGAGGGAGGGAGGGAGGGAGGAGAGAGGGAGGGAGGGACGGGGAGGGGAAGGAGGAGGACGGAGGATGGAGCCAGGAGAAGGACAGGAGAACAGGGGAAAGATGGAGCAGCCAGCAGCAGGAGGAGCAGCGGCAGTCCGAGGAGGAAGAGGTCGGCGACCACGAGGACCGGGTAGATAGAGAATGGGACGGGGGAGGACGAGGAGAAGGATTAGGCGACGAAGGGACAGGGGGAAGAGAAGAAGGAAAAACAGGAGAACCAGACCGATTGCAAGGAAGAAACATCCCCCGAGGTAATTCGACGAGGGCAGCAGCGAGCCACCGACGTAAAGCCAGACACAAAGGCGAAAATGGAAAAGGCTGAGAACTGTGAGACGAGGAAGGGCAAAGATGCAAGGCCTCTGCCTGTTCACCATGTTGCACCTTTGCACACACTTATCTTGAGGGGAAACGATAAGAGGGGGGGGGCCGGCTGAGCGGCGAAACATCGAGCTGGAATCCGCGATACATCGCCGATAGGTCGGCGATAGGCCCCCGATAGCGATTCCACACGTTCCTGGGAGGGTTGGGCCATCGGGCCTTTATCGACGATCAGTAGACAATGGGGGTCGGCGCATGCCCCCTGGGACTGTCCCCCCCTAACATTGCCCCTACTGACTTTGGCCCTCGGAGGTAGGAGAATCCAACCGGTTCTCGCAGTCTCCACGCTGTACCTGTGCAACTGCCCCGGCAAGATTCGGACTGGGGGATAAGAGAGTGCTGGCGTCTGTTGTAGATGGTAGAAGCACCCTCAGAATAAGAACATCTACAATCGATGCCCTGTAGTAATGAATGAATGAGGCCAAGTGACCGTAGGCACCTGAGAAATGACACAAGCGTGCGCTAGACAGCATACTAGCGAACGCGTTCCAGGCGTCCGCTGGAAACATGCCCCCAATCAGGTAGATTTAAAACATAAATGCGGCAAATGTGCTGCGCATGCTTATGCAATTATGATGCCAACGTCTGCCTGGGCCTTCCCCTCTTACGGCGGCTGGGCTGCTGCGTCAAGTCGGAGGAAGGCTGGAAAGCTTCATGTCTGCCAGGATGTTCGTTACCCTTGTGCGCAATATATCCGAACAGTATAATTTCCCGCGGTAAGCTTGGTGTACCAAGCTCACTGTAGAACCGAGGCGTTGTCTGCGCGAAGGGCATAAGAATGCGAGATGCCCAAGATATTACGCTAATTCGCACTGGCGCAACCAAGATGCGCGAAGCCTTCTAGCAAACGCACACAATTAGGAGATCGCAGTGGGCAGGAGTGCTTGGTAAACGCTGAGGACTGTTTACTAAACGCCAGATGTTGGGTCAAGGGAGTTTTGCATGCCTTGATGATGGCCCCATCCTTCTTCTCCAAGGTTCGGCCGCAATCCCGACGTGGTCATCACCCCCGGCATCCACGGTTCGCGGCAACGAGACACTCCGAGGTGCAACGGTCGCACTCGAAGAAGCCCACAAAAGTGCACATAATGACACACAGACAGGGCAGGACCTCCGAGATTCGTACCCCCTCCTCAAGAGGGTGGAACATCTGCCGAAGCGTAAACGGTCGGAGATCCGCACGGATGTCTTCGTAACCCCTCTCCCTGGCGCCCGGCGCCACCAGTGGGGTCCAGCGCCGATCCAGGACATCTACGCGGAAATCCGAAAGCGTATGCTTATGCCGACTGTATGTCAATTGACTCCATCCTCCATCTCGCTCCCCCCGCGCAGATGCAAGAAACCCAATCCGCGCGGACCTCCGAAAGCGTATGTTTGTACCGACTTTTGCTCGTCGACTCCATCCTCCATCTCGCTGCTCCTCCCCCCAACGACGGCGGCCAGGGTGGCTCACCTCTGCGTCGTCTCCCCCACCTCCATCCTTCTCCTTGCCCCTCCGTCCCCGCGCCCCCCCCCTCTTCCTCTCCTTCCCCCCTCGTCGGCCTCGCTGAGGGGAGGGTGCGACTGCACAGCTCGTGGGGTGAAAGTGAGGCGCCAGGTGGCGGGCAGGGCAAGCGCCAGGCGCACGCTGACATGGATTACGGATCCACGGATCTGGCGCCTGGGGAAGCGTGAGGCCAATGCCGCCCGAATCCCACCAGCCCTCTGGGCTGAGTGGTCTAACGGAGATCCCTGCCACAACCCCCTCCTTCCCCTGCTCGGGGGAGGGGTTTGCCCCTTCCCCTACCCCCTACCCTCTGGGCCTGGGAAGGGGGGGGCGGAGTCGTCAGACCGCCCGCGTTGACCCCAAGATGGGTCCAAGAGGGCCCTCGGCAGCCCAGGACGGCCTTCAAGATGGCGCAAGATACCTCAAGATCGCCCAAGGTGGCCTCCGACATGCCTCCAAGACGGCCCAAGACAGCCTCAAGAGGGTTCCGAGTGCCCTTCGAGCATCCCAGAGGCCAGAATCAGTCAGGCATCGCAGGAAAATCAAGGGGGCGTCTCGCTTTTGTGCTTCCGATGGGCTCCTTGGGCCTCAGGATGGCCCCAAGACGGCCCAAGAGACGCCCAAGAGGGGCACAAGACGGCCCCAAGAGGGCCTCAAGAGCGCCGCAGACACGCCCAATCAAGAGGGCCTCAAGAGCCCATGTTGGAGCATCCGAGGGGAGGCCGAAAGTTCTGACCCCCCTTCCTTTGATCGATCTCCTCCGAGATGGCCCCAAGAGAGCCCGAAGGAACGCACAACATCAGCTGGAAGGCGCCCAACATCACCAGGGAGGCTCTCAAGTGCCCCCCAAGAGGCCCTTACGAGAGACAAAAGAGGCTCCAAGAGGCTCCTCCGAGACATTGAAGACGCTCCAATAGGCCCCAAGGACCATCAGGACCTCTCTTCCTCCTCCTCCTCCTCCGCCGCCGCCTCCTCCTCCTCCTCCTCCTCCTCCTCCTCCTCCTCCTCCTCCTCCTCCTCCTCCTCCTCCTCCTCCTCCTCCTCCTCCTCTTTCTCCTCCTCCTGCTCCTCCTCCTCCTCCGCCTCCTCCTCCTCCTCTCACTCGGGGCATCTGAGCTAATGTTTGCTTAAGCACGTCTGTAGAGGAAAAAACATTACCAACGAATCACACATCCAAGGCCGCATGCAACATCCTCCTCCCCCTCCCCCTTCCGCCTCCTCATCCTCTTCCTCCTCCTCCTTCTCCTCCTCCTCTTCCTCTTCCTCTTCCTCCTCCCCCTGCTCTCCTCCTCCTCCTCCTCCTCCTCCTCCTCCTCCTCCTCCTCCTCCTCCTCCTCCTCCTCCCCCTCCTCCTCCTACCCTCTCATCTGGGGCAATATGATCTGACGTGTTTCTAAATCCACTGGGAATTACGCAACCGAGGAACCCCACATACTTATCATGTGTCTTGCGTGATGGTAGCTGACGTGGAACTTTCGAGCATGTTGCTCGTGGCCGTTGCTTCGTCGGCATCGAAGGCGGCGCGGTTCAACCCGGGAAGGCCTGGCATGCCGTGCCAACAGAGACGATTACAACGCCAAAGGGTCCACACCGCGCTGACGGACCACCCCCTGCGCACACCCCCTGCGGTGTCAAGAAAATGCCACGCCTGCTACGCCCTGGACGACCGTGACGGATAGCGGCCGCGGTGAGGGACCACCCTCTGCGCACCCCCTACGGTATCGAGAAAGTGCCACGCCTGGTTTGCCCTGGAGGGCCGTGACGGATAGCGGCCGCGCTGAGGAACCACCCCCTGCGCACCCCCTCTGGTGTCTAGAACATGCCACGCCTGCTTGGCCCTGCGACGTTGGCGCGTATAGATACCGGGGTGAGGGACCACCCCCTGCGCACCCCCTCTGGTGTCGAGAAAATGCCACGCGTGCTAGGCCCTGCGACATTGGCGCGTATAGACATCGGGGTGAGTGACCACTAGGGAAATCGCCAGCCCTACTATGCCCTGTGACATTGGCGCGTATAGAAACCGCGCTGAGGGACCACCCCTCTGCGCACCCCCCCCGGTGTCGAGAAAGTGCCACGCCTGCCAGGCCCTGCGATATTGGCGCGTATAGAGACCGCGCTGAGGGACCACCGCCTGCGCACCCCCTCTGGCGTCCTGCCAGGCCCCGCGACATTGGCGTGTATAGAAACCGCGGTGAAAACAACCCTTGCGCACCCCGTCTGGTGTCGAGAAAATGCCACTCCTGCTGGGCCCTGCGACACTGGCGCGTATAAACACCGCGCCGAGGGACCACCGCCTGCGCACCCCCTTTTGGTGTCGAGAAAGTGCCACGCCTGCCAGGCCCTGCGACATTGGCGCGTAGAGACACCGCGCTGAGGGACCACCCCCCGCGCACCACCTCTGGTGTCGAGAAAATGCCACGCCTGCTTGGCCCTGCAGCGTCGGCGCGTATGGAAACCGCGCCGAGGGACCACCGCCTGCGCACCCCACTGGTGTCGAGACAACGCCACGCCTGCTAGGCCCTGCGACATTGGCGCGGATAGAGACCGCGTTGAAGGACCACCCCCTGCGCACCTCCCCCCGCGTCGAGAAAGTGCCACGCCTGCCAGGCCCTGCGACACTGGCGCGAATAGAAGCCGCGCTGAGGGACCACCCCCTGCGCACCCCCTCTGGTGTCGAGAAAGTGCCACGCCTGCTAAGGAAGTGGAAGGGGAGGAAGGAGGAGGGAGGGGAAGTGTGTAAGAGACGCGGGTGCGACGCGGCAAGGGTGAAAACCAAAACCCCACGAAACACGTGGGGGAAAACATGGGCAGCACGGTGGTGCAAGAGCCCCTTCACGATGACACAACCGTGGCAGGTCAAACTCTGCCGAAAAGAACCCAAAAGAGACCTCCATAAAGCCGAAACGGCGCAAGGTCGACCTGTTCAACTTACCTTTCGACGACTCATACAACACTTGTTCCCGCCCACCCCGCACCCGCGAAGCGAAAGGCACCCAGGGTGGCTGTCACAGTGTATGTTTCTACGCT